ACACACACAGGGTATTATCATGTTAGGATAATAGCATGGGAGGTTGTAAATATGATGTACAACAGTAAAATTACCTTTTACTTTTACAAATTTACTCAAGTGAAGCATGTTTGTGTTGGTGACCATCTTGAATTGGGTTGACTCCAAAAAATAATCAGTTGTAGATGACCACTTTCTGCAACATTCCCTCAGATCCACATCAAATGTTAAAACTCAGAAAATAAATCAATTCTAGAAAAATACAGTAGTTTTAAACTGTAGTCCTGTGGCAGAAACACACATTTGGACAGTTGCATCAAAAGGCTGTGAAAATATGAAAACAGCTGGAGACCCATTTTACAATTAATTATTGTAATAAGGTCAATAAGAGGACAGGTAACAGCCAAGAAGTGCAAAACTACAACTTTTAGGAAAAATGAAGGTTATAGTTGTGTCTGGAGACTTAGACTGGTGGTCTGTGATTATCCTAGGGGTATAGCAAAAATAAAATCTTATCTTAAAGATGGAAATTGTAACATTGCACATAAAAATGAGATAAACAATAAACCATTTTTTTCATAGACCTAAATCATGTCAGGAAGTCAATCTAGAGCATGGACTTTACTAAAAAGGTGGGTTTTTGCCCTCATGCTGGCATCAGCACTGTCAAACTGAATTTCTGTATTCTCATCAGGTCCAGTTTTATCTGTTGAATATGGAGGGCGTCTGTTTTGACACAAGTGACGGGGGCAACTTAACTTGATGCCTCTCGTGCTGACAGGGCTGGCATGCTCTGAGCAGAGGGGCAAAGGCTCTGCCGACTTCCTGTCTCATCTGAAAGGGACCAGCCTCAGCCTTTCCAGCTCGCCTGGGTCAAACACACCCATCCATCAACGGGCCCCTCCCTTGTTTCCTCTCAGGGCGTCCAGCAGTGTTTTGCTGCCATTTTTCTCCCCCSACTCGTGGCCGTCAGTCAGGGACRGCTTCGCAGTAATATAACTGACACYGGCTGGCGTTCGGGGAGTAATGAATGGCCTGGCTGGGTCTATCAGGAGGAGCAGCGGACGCACTTTCATGCTCTTGCCTTTCCTCGTTTCAATCTGTCTCACTTCTTTCTGCCAGTTTTGTTACAACAACAAGCACATTTCAAAACAACAGGGAGACTGCGACACATTCGTCTCTTCTGTGGCGCTCTCTCTCCAATTTAACACCAGTAACTTTAAAAAACTAAACGCTGCATTGAAAAACAAGATAGTTAATGACTGTTATAACCTACCAAAGCACACACAGTTATGTCTTTTAGACATTGTAATTAATTTGTTTGTTTTTTATATCTRTGACATTTACATTTTTCCCCTCAGAAATGCATCAGCTGCACATTTTCAGTCACCCTCTGTTGCACAGGTGAGTGTTACAAATGACCTTTTTCATGGGGAAATAGGTAAAATTAAGGGGATATCGATGTCTGCTGCCATAGCCAGCTTGCTCAACATTTATCTAAAGCTCTAAACATAGAAAATTCATCACTGACTCCATCTGATCGTTTTCATWTAATATTCAAAGGTGGAAGTCATATGTTTGATTGTTTTTAACCACATAATAAAGAAGTGAGTCTACAGTAAAAAGCACTGTTCAGAGTTTCTTCTAGAAGCCTTTTTTTAGCCTCTCCTGTACTTATCGTGGACCCATCAGTGAACGGTGACTTCTGGTAGAGGTGAAGTGTTTTGTCAGGAACTCCTACGGTGTGATTGAAGTCTCTCAGTGGGAACCCTTCAGGAAACAAGAAATAGATTTGTTGATTATCCCCTTAAATAAACAACAATTTGTCTGTGAAAATCCTTTAATATAGATTTTTAGGGTGAAACGTCTTAATCAACATGAAGTGCTTATTAATAATGATGTGCTTAGAATAAATACAGGTAAATATACTGAATAGCAACAATAGATGACCTCAACAATATCCAGCTTTGGCCATCTTTTCATTAAATAAAGGTCGGATAAATATTAATTTGAATTAACTCTTTATTTTTATGCCTACTTCATAACATTTGTAACTCTCTGAATGGGTCACCCGGACAATATTGTCCCATTTTACACAGCATTTACGTTTCATTCATTGTGTCCTGCATTTGTTTTCYTCCTGACATTTTACCTGTGCAGATTGGCAGTGCCATTAATAGGGCTGACATTTTAACATATAGCTTTGACATTTTAATGTATCAATGCAGGAACGAACCTCTCAGATTGTTTAATTTTTTTTTTCATCACGGACGTCGTAAGCACAGGGTCTCTAATAAATGACTGTTGTTTAGGCTCGTAAAAGATGGCAGAAGTGTCATTATGCTCCAAGCCGCTGTTAATAATGGGTTTTTAGAACAGGTTAATAGTTAAATCTGGGTGTCAAATTCTCAAGAGCACGTACTCCATCAGTGTGCAGCTAATTTAATCAAACACTACAACCAACCAACTTGTCTAATAATAATGATTTATCACAAACAAGTAACATTTTCTTTGTGTTCGTCTTTTTTCTGGCTTTGTTAATAATATTTTCATAAAAGATAAAAGATTTTTATAAGGGGCTCAGATAAATATGCTTTTTACATTGATTTTCTGCCATGTGCGTGAGTGTTTGCTTATACACTAGTGATCTAGTGTATTATTTATGATGTCAGAGTTGCACACTGTCAGCCAGGCCTCTGATCTGAAGAACACGCTGCAGAGCTGACCTTTGATCAGACCCTCGATCGGACTCTCTGGTTGTCCTCACGTTTTGAAACGCAAGACTCCGCAGCCACCATTAAATGTCAAAATAGATGATTTCGTTAATAGTCTTTTTTTTTTTACGTTTTATTAATTGGTGAATAGTTTATCAGGAAACAGCAGAAAATGTAGCAGTTTTTCTCTTTCCGTGTCCGTGGGCTCTTTCTGTTGCTGTATAAATAGTTTGGTGGCTCAGCAGGAGAAGAACACTTCATCAAGGAGGATGGGTAAAACCTGCATCAGCACCAGGCTTTGATTGCAGCCCCTTCCTCCTCCCTCCATGCCACACAGCTCCCTTTTCTTCAACATGCTTACGACAGATTTTCAGCATCCTGCACAAAATCTGTAGCTCCACTGATTTATTTCCTTCACCACTTAAATGTTGCAAGTTAGCACAAACATTAGCCGGAGGCATTCACGCTGAAAGCTTGGTTTTTCCTTAAAGTGCTTGGCCCTAACAAACACGCCCAGCAAATTTTAGTCCAATTATTTTTATTCTTATATGTGATTTAAAGCAGGGGTGTCAAAGGGGCCAAAACGTGGTCCAAGACAAGGGTCAGTCTCTGTTAGGGTTGTGGTTATATAAATGATTGAAATAGAAATACAAATTACCTCCTCCATATTACATAATGCACCAGAACAAACATAACCTAACAGATAAAGGAAAAAATATTAAACTTATAAAGACACATCACAAATCAGCTAAAAAAAACAGTATCACAAAAAAAATCAAATTATTTCAATTAAAAAAAAACAAACAAAGGCAACTCTCTGTCACTTTTTCCACACCTAATCAAAGATTAGTGCTAAATGCACTAAACAATGACAAAAAATAAACTATTTTACATTTAAAGWATTACATTCAGGGCCGAATAAAATGTTAACAAGGACCAAATTTGGCTCACGGGCCTTC